TAACAAAATTGAATTCAATAATATAATTTTATACTTGTATAACAAAATTGAATATTATAATATAATTTTACACTTGTGCAACAAAACTGAATACAACAATATACTTTTATACTTGTAAACAGAAAGTTAAATATAATAATATAATTTTACACTTGTGCAACAAAACTGAATACAACAATATACTTTTATACTTGTAAACAGAGAGTTAAATATAATAATATAATTTTTTACTTGTGTGGCAAAATTGAATGCAACAGTGTAATTTAGCATCTGTGCTACAAAATCGAATGGAACAGTATAATTTTACACTCATGTAACAAAATTGAATACAATAATATAATTTCGTACGTGTGCAACAAAATCGAATGCAGAACCTTAATCTTGCACTTCTTCAACAAAACTGAACAAAATAAAATTGAATCAAATTAAATTAAATAAAATTGAATAAAATTGAATAAAATCGAATAAAATAAAATTGAATAAAATTGAATAAAATAGAATAAAACATTCTATAACTCTAAATAATAAAAATTCCAATTAAAAGTTTTTAGAACACCCTCCCCCAAAATACCAAATTTTCTACATACTCGTAATTAATTAAACTAATATTTTTCCAATAGCGTTATCCCATCGTTCATTGAATAAAAGGTTCTCCTAAAGATATTAATTGGAATTGGAATAAATTTTTAGTCTGGTCCATACGTTTTCAGATCTTTATAACGACAAAGATTGATGGGAGCTTCCGATCGAAGCATCCTCGAAGGATATCAGTTTGACGTGGAATGTGGAGCCGCTTTGCTAAAGGGGTGTGTGAACGATCGGTTTACCCGAGAGCTTTACCAATGCCTTCTTTTCTTCTTCTTATTTTTATGATCCTCATTAGAGAGCAATTCTGCCGTTACGTCGGCTTCTCCAAACACAGGATATGACGTGAACGTACAAATGTTTGATAAGTTTATTGAGCTAATATCAGTTCTCCAATATGCTTTTACATTTTCCGAAAAATGTTCCGATATTTGGACGATTATTTTAGTTTCTTCTGGAAAATTTATTTAACGATTTTATATTTTATGTATGGTTGGTTGAAGTGAAGCATTGGACTATTTCTTTGGATTGTTTCTTTTAGAAAATTTGTTTAAAAATTCTTTATTTTGTGCATCATGGATCGAAGTGAATCATTGGACTATTTTGGTGGAAGACTTCTCACGACGGAAAAATAAATATATTTACAATTTGGGTTCTGTTCATTCAATAATAAAAATTCAGAGGTATATTTTTATCCTCAGACAAATAAAGCAAAAGTTTACGACCATGTAGGTAAAACTATTTCAACAGAATCGAATTTTTGTTTATTCAGCTTCAAAAAATCGAACTGCAAATTATTCAGAATAACTTTCTCTTGTTTCTTTATATACACATACAAAATTTGATCATATAATCACATGATCGTATAATTATACGTCTACGGTATTAAATTATATTAATTTAAATAATCTGTAATATAACCCATAGGACCATTTGAAGATTCTAACCATTTCTGCAAAAGCAAGATGAAAATGCAAATTTTATCCACGACACTCGTATTTCAGCGAATAATTTCAGTCAGAAAATTAAGAACCCTTTAAAACGGATCACAAAAAAGGGGATAATCCAGAATTAAAACATTATTCGTCGGTCTGTTTGATCAGAGCAACATGAAAGGGCTGTCATCCGTGGATAAAATCCAATATCTTCTTTCACCAACCACTTCCCTTTTCGATGCTAAATCATGACAAACCACGACGCTCTGCCCTTTTGTTCGCTATAAGATGCTATTTAATTAGAACAGTTCTTTTACTTGTCGAAGTCACGGAAGCGCGATTAATCCACCGAGAATACTAACTTTTACGAAGTTCAAGCACATTCAACTGTGTACGAGCAAACTCAGATGTCAACGACGAACAACCCTTGGGATTCGAAGTTTCAAAACAAACTGTTACAATATTCGCTTCATTTCGAACTTAATCTACTTTTTTTGTTTGTACGACGAATAGTAATGAGGGGGGTGGATTTTGAGTTTTTCTATTTTTAAAAGTTTCAAATTCTCAAACTTTTTCATTTTCTAGATTTAACAATTTTTTCTTAATTTCCAGGTTTTCAAATTTTCAAATTTCTTAATTTCTAGGTGTTCAAATTTCTTAATTTCTAGGTGTTCAAATTTACAAGTTTTCCACTGACTAAATTTCCTAATTGTCAAATATACAAACTTCTACATTTCCAACCCCTAAACTTCCAAATTTCCAAGTTAATAGCATCTCTAAATTATCAAAGTTCCAAATTTCACAATTCCCAGGTTCCAACATTTCTGCATCTCTAAATTTTTTAATTTGCCAAATTAAATTTTCAGTTCTTCAAATCTCTAAATAATCAAATTAAAAAATTTCCATATCATTACATTTATATTAATTTTGAGGTTAGAAAAGTGTGACCAGTGTAAATATCATCTAAACGCATACATTAAAACTGATTATATAATTTTCTAAAATCTTGATATCTAAAAGTACACATAAATTTCTCAAAACCATGTATTAATAATAAAAGAAAATCTAAGAAACACCCTAATAAAAATACAAAAATTTGTATTCCCAAAGACTGAATATAATTGTTTAATTTATTTATTAAAGAAACAACTGAAAAATGAAGGCACATAAATTCTGGAATTGAGGAATTCCACGTACTCGATCGGTCATTAAGCGAAATCCCCATTTTCCGGGTAGTTTTTCACGAAGAAATTGAGGTAAAAGAGCAAACTCGCAGCCACACTCGACAATTAACGAAACCTTCGCTCGTTCCAGAAAGTCGTTTCGCCATACGAGGGAACTCCGACGAAAACGAGTTTGCCTTTCCAAGTTGTTTCATCCCCCGACCTTTGACCCTTTTAAAGCAACGAAGGAGCATCCCCATATCGCCTTAAACTTTTCAGCCAACGTCGGGACACAGATATAAAATCTGGACGGTAAGTGTCTCGGATTCTTCCATAAAAATGCAAGCCTGAAAATTGCATCCCCTCTTCTCTATAAATTCTATAAAAGCTGCCGCTCGAGTGCGAGGGAGGAAATATTTATAATTTATGAATGAAGAGGCTTGCTTTGAGAATTATAGTCTTTTTATGATGGATGTCATTCAAATTTGTAATAATGGCGACATTTGGTACTGTGAGTTGATATTTTCTCATTGTTGAATATTTGATACGTTTATGATTACGTCTTTGTTGTAAATTTATACTTCGTCGTTATATCAATATATCAATGTATCACAGTTCAAAAGTATTTTAATTAGTGTAAAGTTAAGCAATATTTTTTTTATGGAGATCGACAGGATTCAAATTTTAACAAAAGTTCACACAGAAATAGATTTAAATTATTTACAAAGTTAAGGTAAATATAAAATTCTTGAAACAGAAACTTTCAGAGTCATGTGCAAGAATTCACACGTGTAAACCACAGTTCATTTCATTTTACTCTTCCCAACAAAATTTGTTTTCATTTATCTGCAAATAGAGCTTGGTGCAATTGTAACCTTAAATTTCTACCTTTGAAAGCATCATTCATGATGCACTGAACAATAACTGCAGTAAAGAATAATAATATAAAAATACATATAGTAAAGTCAAAATTACAATTAAATTCTGAGCACTCAAATTCCAAGCACGTCAAATTTGAAGCCTTTAACTCGCTTTCTTTCAATATTGAATATAAAGTGCCTTCAAAATGTTTAAACACCTAAATTGAATAAGTGGCTTTGATTGAAGAAAAAAATATTTTAGAGAATAATATTTCTTCAAACGCTTCCCTTCAACTGAAAAGCTATTAGAATCGATTCATTCCACGCGACTTTGTTTTATCAGAAAACATCCTTTGGGTCTCAAACAACATTCGACCCCAACTTTTTTCAGTGAATTTTCTGTTCAGTAAAAGTTGCTCCTACTGGAAGTAGTACCAAATAAATTATTGAAATTTGCAATATTTATAAAACAGATGTTAGAAAATATGAAGTCAAGATTTTCCTTTGAGTAAACAATTTTAATTGCATGAGACTGTGCGTATTTATGAACAGTGCAGGTCTGAAGACTTTCAAGCAGAACATCTGCATTTCAACACGCAGTTCCCAAATTTAGAATCTTTCAAAAATAAACCCCGAAGTTCCCGACGCTTTTTTCAATTTTAAGAGAACCTTTCTACCATTTTCGATTTTCTATTCCTTATCAATTTTATATCCTACTTTATATCCCTTTGACATGAAAATTGAGTGCGACCAAAGGAAACTTCGCAGAAGAAACTTCACAGAAACTCTCGTTGGCCCGCTATTGAAAGTACAAAAACATACGACGCAATAAAGATTGACACGCTTTTGAAAGAAGAAAGTGTTTCTGCATTATTATTTTAGATTTTGACCAGCTGACGTTTCAGATATATTCCACTATATTTCTTACTTCAGGTTATGGGAGATAAAAACGATTTAGTGAAGTTCTCCTAAAACAGTTTAGTACCTGAAGGACAACCGTCATCGATAAAACAGAGTTCCAACACCCTCCGTAAAACTCTAATAAAAAATTTCGTTACAAGATTATTTCATAAAAGAGTGAGAGACAGAAGAACACGAGGATGAGATTAAAAGAGGTTTACACGGCATGAATTTCCGAAACAATTATTTTTATTACGACAAATTCGGAAAGGAATAACAAACCTTCAAGCAGTTGTTAGATAAAGATTGCAGCTTTTAAGTGAAAATAATATTTTGTACTCGGCGTTGAAACAAAGTAATTCATATTTTCATATGTAAACTAGTAGTTCATATTTTCATATGTAAACCAGTAGTTCCTATTTTACTATGTAAAAAAGTAGTTCATATTTTAATAGTGAACCACCCCTTACTTCATCCAGCATTTCTCATCAGTTAAAAATTACACAAAATCGTGAAGAATGTTGAAGGTAAAATTAAGAAAGAATATCGTGCATTACCTGGGTATCTGAAAGGCAATCTCGTCAAGCGAATCACTGGGCTGCAAAGGGGCCCGTTCAAAGAGCCTGCTCGGACCCCGATGGACCCTGTTGCAACAGTGCATGGATTCGGCTGTTGGCTGCGATTGGTCGGTACAATTGGTCCCACGTTGTCCACTTTGGTTCGATCTTCCTTTTTGACGCTTTTTCCGTACCTCCTCCGCCTGGCGGCGTAGGTTGTGCAACCGGAAGAAGTACATTGACATCTCTGTTCCGGGGACGAGGATATTCGGTCAGGATACTCATCATAGTATCAAATAGCGAACGCGACATTTTTCCACGCAAATACTTTTGAACATGCGAACGAATCTTTGTCTACAATTTTCAATTTGACATTCATCGTTTTGTGTGTGTATCGAAAATCAACCCTTAAGCACATAGTCAGACTCTTTCAAAATTAAATTTATATTGTATGTATTTTTTTTTAGATATGTGTTTAAATTGCATAGATGAGATGTGGACATTTTCAAGCAATTTTGAGAGGGATTGTGAAGTTTGCTAAGGTGTGAATATATAGAAATGAGGAAGGAAATTTTTGTTCACATTGCAATCGAAAGATGTAAGCACAAAGAAGGTGGATTTCATTAATACATAAATCGACAAAGTTTATTATAAATATATAAATTCAAGTCCAGTTAGCTTTCGTTAAATTAATGACTTGTCTAATGACATATCTTCAACAACAAATGATTCTACATTCTTAGGAAAATTAAATTCTGTTTGATAAATAATAAATGAGACCCACTTCCTCTGATCCTAAACTTCTAAATATATACATACATGTAAATAGAATATATAAAAATAAAAGTATAATTCAATGTAACACGTACGTTGAAAGCCAATATAAAATATATCATCTACCTGCTAGCACGTTTAATTTCTGAATCACGATTATTAAAAGATAAACTTTATCACTAAAATTTACTTTATATCAGTTATTAAACGTATAAATCTATATAATATTACTGAAATGATGACAGCGCACAATAATATGTTTCTTTGTCAGATATTTCATCGACGTTTAATCAAATGCAGAACGTCGAGCAAACATTGAAGTGGAGAGAAAACAATTCGTTTCGGTAAATCGTTAATTGTGGTGCTATTTCGTGATTACTTCGACAACGTCATGTTTCCGCATCTCCAATGCAAGAATTTCTGATTACGTGTCCCGATAATCGAGAACGGTTAACATCGAACCATCGCAGACTCGAGTAATCGCCGCTTCGATAAGCAACAATTCTACCACATCAAAACATCCAGCTACACGCAGAAACGATTGCCCTCGTATCTGCTTGCATGTTCACTCGAAACACGAGAATCAATTGAATAATGCATCGAAGATTCGTTCGCATCGATCATCCCTCGTGAATATGATCCCCTCGTGCGGTCATGCGATGCGTTATCCTGTAGGATTCAGGGTACGTGTCTGGAGATTTCTGTTGCTATCGTAATTGATTTTCGAGGGTCATAGAGCAACGGTACAGAGTGAGCTATCATTTTGTGGTGCAATGGAAAGTTGAGAAGTGGTCGAGTTTGGAACTGAATTTAAGGTATATTTGCTGTTTGTATTTCTTGAGAAATGTTTTTAAGCAACTGGAAGTATTTTTAAATATTTAGAGCCTCAAATTTTAATATTATATAGCTTCATTTGGAAGTAAAGGTACACTTCTATATATCTACACCCCTAAATTTCAATATGGTGAAAACCTAACCTCAAAATTTAATTTCCTCTGCATATCCAAGTCTCAAATTTTAATACTTTTAAGCTTCAACTATAAGAGAAGGCATACTCTCAAATATCTACACCCCTAAATTTCAATATTCTCAGATCCTAACCTCAAAATTTAATTTTCTCTACATATCCAAATCTCAAATTTCAATACTCTCAAGCTTCAACTATAAGAGAAGACATACTCTCAAATATTTACACCCTTAAATTTCAATGTTCTTAAAACCTAACCACAAAATTTAATTTTCTCTACATATCCAAATCTCAAATTTTAATACTCTCAAGTTTCAACTATAAGAGAAGGCATACTCTCAAATATCTACACCCCTAAATTTCAATATTCTCAGATCCTAACCTCAAAATTTAATTTTCTCTACATATCCAAGTCTCAAATTTCAGTACTCTCAAGCTTCAACTATAAGAGAAGACATACTCCCAAATATCCACTCCTAAATTTCAATATTCTCAAAACCTAACCTCAAAATTTAATTTTCTCTACATATCCAAATCTCTGTGCCCACCAATTTTACCCAATTTCTAATACACACTATTATCTATAATATTAAATTTTCAACAAATATTATTACAAATTTTAAGAAATATTATTACTAATTTGAACATATATTTCTTCCAAACTTCTGCTACCATAAATATGAAAAAGTTCACTCACCCATCGCAACTCACAAAATGACAAATCAGTGTTCAATTATTAACACGCACCCCAGACCGTAAAACAGACTAACGATAACAAAGGATGTGATCCAACAGCATAGAATATTATCATGCTAATTAAGGGCACGCGTACAAACAACGCACAGTTCGTTGACGCAGCGGGACTTGATATTTCAATGAACAAGACCCCGAAGATACACAGCAAACGCGACATTCTCCGCAACGTTAACATGCAGAACATGCAAGTGTAGGGGACGTTAACCACGGCTCACCAAAATCCGAAGTTCGAAATTCGAAGTTTGACAGTGGCAACCGAGAGTCGGCGTTTCCTGTTGGCACCCCGTCGAAATCAGAATCGAACCGGGACAACTAACTTGTTCGTCCACCGGCAACGATTCGCTCGGAATCCTTGATGCTGAGGTAAACTCTAACGTTAGCAGTTTAACACGATCTTGTGTAGCGGGCAACATTTTGCGCGGTGGGAATTATGCAGGGTTAGGTCAAATCTGTTACCAACTTTGGGGGATTGTTCTGGAGAGCAGCAGAAAGATCGTGTGGCTAAATTAAATTTGGCAAGTAAGATCGTTCGTTTATTTTTTGGGATCTATGGGGATTTGATGATGCAGAGATAGGTTTAGAATTTTGGGTTCTTGAGGTTTGGGCACTTTAGAATTTTGGGATCTTCTAATTTGGAAAACTTGAGATTTTGGAAGTTTAAGGATTGGGGACCGTGAGATTTGGGAGACTTGAGATTTTGGAACCTTGGAGATTGGAAATCGTGAGATTTAGGGATCTTAAGATTTGAGAACCTTGAGATTTGGGAATTTGGAAGTTTTGGAACCTTGAGGATTTGGGACCTTGAAGATTGGAATCTGGAGATTTTGAAACCTTGAGGATTGGGGACTCTGAGATTTGGGGATCTTGAGGTTTGGGAATTTTGAGGTTTTGGAACCTTGAGGATTTGGGACCTTGAAGATTGGAATCTGGAGATTTTGGAACTTTGAGGATTGGGACCTTGAAGATTGGAATCTGGAGATTTTGAAACCTTAAGGATTGGGGACTCTGAGATTTGGGGATCTTGAGGTTTGGGAATTTGGAGGTTTTGGAACCTTGAGGATTTGGGACCTTGAAGATTGGAATCTTGAGATTTTGGTACCTTGAGGATTGGGTGCCGTGTGATTTGCGAAACTTGAGATTTATGAATCTTGAAATTTGGAGATCTTGAAGTTTGGGAACCTTGAGATTTGGAGTTCTTGAAGTTTGTGAACCTTGAAACTTAGGGTCATTGAGGTCAGGAAACCTTGAAGTTTGGGAGTCTTGAGGTGCTAGAACCTTGAAGTTCGACAGCCCTGAAATTTTCGAACTTTGTGGCTTAAGGAACCTTGGACCTAATGTATTAATATTAACACGAGGAATTATGTATATTTTACAAATTTTGCAAATTTACAAATTTAACTTAAAAATTGAAAAGTAAATAATTTTACAAATTAACAAATCTCCGCTTTACAAGGTTCTAAGTATTCAAGTCACCAAAGTCCCAAGCTTCCAAGTTCCCAAATTTATAGATTTTCAGATTGTATTTAAATTTCTTAACTCTCCTTTTTTCTAAATTGTCCATTCAAAAATTTCTAAATCTCCTTCCAAATTTATACTTTCCTAAATTTTTGATTTCTCACATTCGTCACATGCAAACATTTAAAAAACCCCAATTTTCAAAATTGAAAAAATTTAAAAACCTTCAAGTTCCTGAAAAAAGGTCTTCACTCCTAGACTCTTAAATTTGCAGACTTAATTTTTGATATTGAAAAAAGGTCTTCACTCGACTCTTAAATTTGCAGACTCTCAATTTTTCCCGTTTTCAGAAATATCTAAATATTATCGAGTATAATCCTTCTACTGTCCGTTACCATATTTTTCAAGCGAGCGATATTTGCTATTGATTGCACATCCGATATATTCGCAATATTGTAGAAAATATGGGGATCGTTCTGTGTACAACTCCGTCGAGCGAAAATATTTGATTGTATTTGCTCGCCACGATTGAATCGATTGAACGTAATACAATCTTTTTGCTAACAGAGGAGTTTCAAATACCAAGTTAAAATCCTCTCGGGATCGTTCAACGAACTTGTTTCTCTTCTTTTTATTCCCCTCGTAATCGACGCTTCTTGGGATTAGCTTCGAAACTGTAAGTCATTTATCTCTGGGACAATCGTCATTACGAGATACAGGCTCGACAGATATTGGATGAAATTTTCTTTACTTCATTTATGAACTTTTCCCTGTTCCTAATTGATTCTAATCCGGCTCATCCTGTAATGAACTTCACCTTTCGCTGTTATTAATTTATAATATAATCAATTTCGAGGAAAATTAATTACTAGAATTCCAATTATGGATGAAACAGGAATAAATTGGAAAGTATATTAAATTGAGAATGTTAAATGAATAACCTTTCATGTAATTGTTGAGAGAGATCACTTTTATGGAACAAATGAAATGAACAATGCACAATTTAATCCCCAAATCACACACGCGTTATTAAACCTTTGACGACACTTTTTGAAAAAACAGTCAACTAACAAATACAGGTATGAGATACATGGTGAGCAAACAAGGTGGAATAAAACGATACAATATTTTATTGTATAGTATTGACGTTTGCGATATTTGATTTAGATTTATGGTACAGTTAAACAAGTTTGTTTGTTTATTAAATAAATGCATAGGTTTATTCATACAATAATTATTTGAATTTATTTAGTAAGGTATTGCATAAGTATGTTCATAAGTACATATGTGAGTAT